TGTGCTTGGTTGTCTGTCTCTAAGTGTAGCCCTGTGATAGACTGGTGACCTGTCCAGGGTGTCCCCTGCCTTCGCCCTGGGTCGGCTGGGATAGACTCCAGCCCCCCCGCGACCCAAGTGAGGATTGAGCGGTGTATAGATAATGGATGGATACCAGGTTTTGTCTTTTTTTTTTTTACAAATTTCAAGCCATTTTGAATGTGAACACTTTATTTTCTACAGCCTCTACAAACACTAACTCTACTACACAGCGTGCTGCATTTATTTTATTGATTCAGTATGTTTGATTTTTCTCTGAGTCTTCCTAAGTGGTTCCATTTCTGCTCTGTCAAAGCACATCCCTGAATTTCTGTCACGTGATGGTTGGGCTCAGCTCAGTCGATTATGGCTTCATGGTTGTGTGGAGGAGCTCAGAAGTTTTTGTTTTTTTTGCAGAATCTCATTTTTTTTAATTGACAAAATGCCTTTCAAACCTGGCAGCTGGTTTTGCTGTCCAGAGGGTTAAATTGTCTCATAAACAACTATAAAAGCATAACTTGGAACCATATTTCCTTCTTTTTTTTTTTTCCAAAAGAGCAAGGTGACATAAAACGTTTGTTATATATGAGTCCTTACATGCATCCATGTGTGTAAGTAACCATTTGGAATTTCAGTGATTGAGAGCAATGGTCTCAGCCTATAAAAACTGCCTGGCTTCGTCTCTGGGTTACGTTCGAGTGCAGTATAAACAGACGGACCGCGGGGCTCCGGGTTATGGCAGGAAATCAGCTGGCTGCCATAGTTACCTGTGTGTCCATTGTTGTACAGCGTGAAGGGCTTGTTGCCGTGCTGACTGTAGCCCAGCGGGGTCACCGGCATCAGACCGGGGTCATATTTGGTCTGGGTGGTTACCACGTCGACCGGGGACTGGGATGTGCCGCCACAGTCAGGGAAATACTCGGACCACTCGGACTGGCCGACCAACCCTGGACAGAGAAAGAAACAGTGAGGCCACCCGATCACACAGCCCGCTGACTCCCAGTCATTCAGGGAGAAGCCTCTGTTAATGCGCCTCTAATTATGAAGGACAATTATTCCTCTATGCTCTCTGGAGGGTCACAGCTACACAGCAGTGAAGTGAAGCCTAGAGTGTACAACAGCAGTGAGTACACCCCAGTGGAATTTCACTCATACGGTGAATGATTCATAACTCAATAACTGCTGTTTCTAAGTTGAGCAGCAGCGTATTTCCTCTGGTCAACAATCAGAAACAAACACTTCAGACAGACGGTGTTGAAAATTCAGGCCCCAAAGTAGAAACTCAAAGCAATAAAGGTGAACCATCTATAATCAGCAAAACTAAACTGAGTCCACCTGTGATTTCCAATCAATCTAATTGTGTTGTTTTTTCTGGTGTAGCAATTTCCCTGAGGCTTTGTACCGAAGGGATCAATAAAGTTTTATTCTAATTCTTCTATTCTAATTCTAATTCTGCATGAACATGGTTCTAAAATGAGCTGTGAACAGCAGAACCTTCTTAGTTTTGGACCTATGGACTGTGTCTATGTCTGCATCATGGCTCCACACAGAAAAAACTAGCAGAGAATTAAAAAATGTGATTGCAAAACTTAACTACTTTCTGCAACGACTTCCACAAACTAGCTGCTTCAGACTTGGCACAGGAATTATCAAGGGAAATCAGAGTTTAGAGGCCTGTTCTTGTTTATGGTGGGTGACGCATCGTCCTAACAGTGAAGCACGGAGGTGGCAGCATCATGATATGGGGCTGCATGAGTGTAAAAGATGACATTTATACATGAGTGTCTGAGGATAAACCAGAATACTGACTGACCAGATGACTCCCAGTCTGCAGAAGCTGGAAGAAGAGGAACATTCCAGCAGAGGAACAGAGAAGAAAACCACAGTTGGAAAAATGGTTTAAAAAGAATGACAGAACATCTGTTTTTGGTCTCCTCCATGCTGAGGAGGATTGAGTGTGCCATCAAGGTAGACATATGAAGTATTGAATAAGACTTAAATCTCTGTAATGACTTTCTATTGTGAGGTCTGTATTTAGCCTCATTATAGTTAAAGGCACAGTTGAATGTAGAGAGAGACAGGAAATAGTGGGGAAAGGACCTGCAGTAAATGGTCATGAACAGGACTCGAACCCACGACCTCTGCATCTGGGACTGCAGCCCCTGTCAACGGGTTGCCCGCTCAACCAGCTGAGCTACCGAGGCGCCCTGAGGCCTGTACGTTTAATATTGTAAATCTAAAGAACAAATACTCCACCGTGCATCGTAATGCAATGACTGATAAAACATCAACATTCCCTTAGCAATATCCATCTGAGTTAAAATGATTCTTTCATGGCAGGAATATATTGTATTCATTTAAATATATTGCTATGTTGCTCATCTTTAATCAAATATCTCACAACTATACAGCCACAGGGGAAAAAATATAAAACCACAACTTGGATTTGTGAATGAAAAATCTGCATGTGAACATAATTAAAACCTCATTAGCAAAAAAAATACAATAGTAATAATAATAATGACATTTATTATTATTATTATTATTATTATTCATTATACAGACTCGATTGGGTGAGCGTGTTGCCAAAGTCTCATAGCTGCTAATGTAGTCACACTGTACACTCGCATATTTAAATCAGCAAAATTTTTTAATTTCTTGTAGATTTACTTCAGGTTTGTGTAGAAATGTAAACTAATTTAATTCAAAGGTGCACCGAGAAATGTTGTGAAAGTAATTACGTGGGAGTAGAGTGACTGAGGCCTGAATTCACCGACAATAAAGACTCCGGTCTGCCCAATTGCATGATAAAAGAAAGTTAGAAAAAAAAAGAAAATGAGAGTGACATGTGAGTCAAAGAAGCTGAATTTCAATTGCAAAGAGAGGCATGCTTTAGAAAAACACAACTGACACGCTGTTTTTTTCCACACAGAAATGCAAATATTCAGTCGCACGGTTCCAGCAGCAGCAGCAGCTTTTTCAGGTTCATGCCTGTGTTTTGGTTGTGACGCTTCACAACTTATTAAAATCAACAACTTCATCTGCATGAACAACAATGAGCGCAGAGGGCCTGGTGCGCCAATTAATCGTCACTTTTTTCTCCCCAGCGTGAGCGGAGAGGACTGTCCGTCAGCGATGTAAACACACCCCTCAACTCTCTAATCTGTCCTCAGCGAAGCCCCGCGACTCGACCTCTGAAGTGAGTCCCGCCGCTGGTCGCCATGGAGGTCGCCATGGTGACGGGAGGCCGAAAATTCTCACCCTCTGCACCCGCTCGGCCTCTCCTAGCATGCTAGCAGCACCCTAATGCAACCGCAGTATAGAGCAGCATTCATCATCATTCATCATCATTCCAAATTACATCACCTCTCAATGTATGTGATATTTCTTGGTTGCACAGTAACGTATTTCTCCAACAACAAATGCTTTTCAAAGACTGTTTTAAAAACTCAGTCTATCTGTGATTTCCAATCAGCCAAACTGCATGAGTCCTCCTGAGTTCTTTCTGGGTGACAGAAGCTTCTTTCAGTGTGACAATAAACTTGATTTGACCTCGTTTGTCCTCATTACGCTTTTGGTAAACACTGGACACGACAGAAACCGGGGCTGAACAATTAGTTAGTTTCAAATCGCATTTTGAAACAAAGCAATTAGCAAAAAGCTGCAATTTAGGACACACAAGGTTTGGCTTTAAAGTAATGAGACTAATGCTGTATTTTGGGTTTTATCTCATTTGCCCAGATTGAAACTTTCAGGGGTTGTTTGTTGGTCGGTTTACAATTTAACCCTATTCAGGACTTTTGGGGTCTTTTGGACCCCAGGCCATTTGGTTTAGGTGACAGGTGTTGTTTTTTAAATATAAAAAGAGGAACATTTGTCATGTATTTGGAACCCAAAATGTATTTAACATAGCATAAAAATCTAAAATAAATACTAACAAATATTTTGCACATATTCTTTCTTGAAGTCCAATGGACCCTGAAAGACCTTCTATATGTGGCAACATGAAAGTCCTGAATAGAGTTAATTGCATGATTTTGAAGTTGAACAGTCAAGTATTTCCTATTATAAACAAAGACCAATACTTTAAACAGACTATATGTAAAATTAAGGCCCTAAAGTAGAAACTCAAAGCAACACAAGTGTGATCACTGACACTAAACTGAGTCCACCTGTGATTTCTAATCAGTCTAACTGCATGAACATGGTTCGGAAATGAGCTGTGAACAGCAGAATCTTCTCAGTTCTGGACATATGGACTGTGTCTATGTCTGCATCATAGCTCCACATGGAAAAGAACTGGACAGAGGAAACATCTGATTCTGAGACTTCATAAAGATGGAAGAAGATCAACTAAACACCAGTGAAGCCCAGTGTGAGCAGTAACCAGGAGGTCTAGAAGGAGCCATAATAGCTCTGATCAGGGCTGCAGTGGTCGTCCTCCTAGAATGACTCCACAGACAGTCAACTACTTTCACTATGGAGCTGTGAAAAACTGCTGCTTCAGACTTGGTACAGGGGTTATCAGTGGAGACCAGAGCTAGTGTGAAGCTCAGACAGTGTGAAGGACACTTCAGAACATCAGCCTCTATGGACGGAGGACCAGAACTAAACCTGGCTGCTGCTCACAACTAAACTTCCACATCAAAGTTTGCTAAAGAACATGAACAGAAGCCTCATGGATGTTGGAGAACATTCTCTGGTCAGATGAAGATCAATGTGTTGGGCTCAGATGGAGTCCAGATGTTTGATGTGACCACCACAGTGGATGCATCGTCCTGACAGTGAAGCGCGGAGGTGGCAGCATCATGATATGGGGCTGCATGAGGACAGAAGGTGTTGATGACGTTTATAGATGAATGTCTGAGGATAAACCAGAACACTGTCTGACCAGATGACTCCCAGTCTGCAGAAGATGGAAGAAGAGGAACATTCCAGCAGGAGAACCATCCAGAGAACAAAATCACACAAGAATTTGTAAAGGAAAGTATTGGGGTATTTTAAAGAGAACAGTAAAGCAACACAACCCCTCCAGCAAAGAACGGCTGCAAGAATGACACAACATCTCTGCAGATATTTGTTATCCGTCATGCTGAGGAGGATTGAGTCTGTCATGAAAAATAAAGGTGGACATACAAAGCACTGACTCGTCAGAAATGAAAGGTGGACTGACTGTTGTTGCACTTTGTTCCTACTGTGGGGCCTGTATTGTTAACATAGTAATTCTAAACTGTTGGTTTTTAATTTGACATAAAAGCAAACACCTACTGTTCAGTCATTTGACATTTAGGTGATACTGCACAGGTTTGTACTCACTTCCTCTGCTGTGCACTGCAAAAACAACGTCACATACATGAGGCTTCCCTGACGTTTTCTGATCTCTCGTGGAAACCGTGCGACTCTGCCCTTCCGTGTGACAAAATGTTGTGCACCCGGCTTTCCACTTCAGCTAGCAGCTCGGCTATGGCCGCATCATGCAATGCAGCATCACACACCATCACACACCATCATTCCCGGTGACAAAAAAAAAACAACAACTGAATAAACACATCTAAACAGAACCTCTTAGCCACAGGCGTCCATTGCATGTTACTGCACAGTGCACCATTATAACACATATATGTAAAGACACCAGTTGGCTCCAGGCACTGCTTCGAAACTTTGCTGTATGTACTGTACATCAGTGTTGCTCCCCTGAATACATGCAGACCGTAGTAATGTGTGCGCCCCATTCATTCCCACAATGTCATTGTCCACGACATAGCCGGCCAGTGTGCGTCAACGACACAATAAACACATAGGTTATTGTGCGCCACAACAATACAGCGCGCGATTTGGTATGCTTTTGCTTCTTCCCGTCCCATCTCCCTCTCTCTGTGCACCTGCATCCTCCCCCCCTCCAACCAGCCTCCCTCTCGGGCTTTTTTCTTGCTTTTTTTTTTTCTCCACCTCCTCCTCCCTATCACCCTCCAACCCCTTCATCATCTCTGTGTGACTGCCGTGCTCATGCCAGCTTGTTGAACTGTAACTAATACAGACAGAGAGGGAAGCAGGGGAAACGGGAAAAGACACGAATCCGAGCCAAGTTACAAGAGATTTAATGCTGTTGGAGGCGCAGGTTTGCAGCGAGGTCAAGGTGCGGCGGCTCCATACAAGACGTGTCATTTGAATTCAGGACAACGTGCTTTAAATATCAGCATCTCTAGTTGTCTGCGTTTGCTTTCTGTTTGTTTCAGGCTGGAGGATTTCACTACTTAACTATAAAGTGCAGAATAAATGAAACCCTTATTATATCTTTATTTTTACCCTTATCGCACTTTTTTAGTAATTATTGTCCTGCTTCTTATCTGCATCCAGCTGCTGTAACGTGTACATTTCCCCAGTGAGGGATCAATGCAGTTTATCTTAGCTCTAATCTTATCTTAATAGCTTAACCCACTTCAGAGAAAAACACCCTAATTTGACAGAATTTTCCTTCATTTTTAAAATACGCAAAAAATAACAAAAAAAACTACCAAAACAGCTTGTTTACACATTAAAGTGAAAAAGCATTTATCAAATGTACAAGATTTCTATGTAAAGTTATGTGTAAAAACTCATATCACACCTGATATGATTTAAAATAAAGAACAGTTTGTTATTGTCATTATATGACTTGGTTTAAAAACCTATATCTAACCATTTTATAGTTTTTTTGAGGGGGGGGGTTGCATTAAAGATGAGTCAAAAAGCAAAGATTTTTATATTAAGTCACAGGGTTTTAAATAAAATGCAGATTATTGCAATTTCAAACATCAAATTATGCAATAAAACACACCTATGGGCCATTTTTCAGCAGTCTTATGCTAAATTAGTCGTATGATAACATTATTCAACCATATTTATAGGTAATTTCATCACTTTTACACATAGATATCCATCGTTTAACATTGAAAAAAAAGCTCTTATAAAAGCACAGATTAGATCAAATTAATACTAAAAACTGTATTTTAATTGTGACACATGACTATATTTTAATAAGTAGTTTTGATGTTGTTTTTGGAGCCCCAGCTGCTGCAATATCCCCAGTACGCACACATCCAGATTATCCACCACCCTCTGCATACATTCTTGTCTGCATCTTCCTTTTTTTTTTTTCATCACTTCCTACTTCAGTTTGAGTTGCTTTCGAAGAGCTCCCAAAAGTAGTAAACGTGAACTCACCAGTGTAGGTCCAGGTGACTTCCTCTGAAAGAAAATGACAGAGAAAAGCTTTTATTTTAGTCTACACTCACAACGTCTTAAATACGCAAACCAGCACGATTCTGTTGACTCTGAAGTGCTCAAATCCGATTGTTAAGCTCACTGAAACACCCGAACGAAGCGAAGGGGGGGAAAACAATCTCACATGATGCCTATTATGATGCAAATTCAGACCTTACCGGCAGCAGGAGCAGCTGTAAACTGGAAAAACATAAGTAAAAGAAGGATAAAAAGACCCACAGAGTCCATGTTCAGCCTCTGTGCCCAAACACAGGAATGAATGAGGGCGAGTGGAGGGATGAGGAACAAGTGAAAGGGGGAGAGCGAAGGGGGGGGAGAGAGAGGGAGAGAAAGGGGGAGAACGACGGGGTCCGGCGGTCCCACCTGCCACCGCTCTGTTGACGTCGCACAGCTCAGTCCACTCCGAGCAGGTCTCAGCACACATGGACTTGCAGTGCAAAAGGAAAAGAGTGAACACAGAAATCAGAGAGAGAGGAGTCTGCAGAGAGGCAGCAGCGACTGAGCGTTAATTCAGCTTCAGCTGTGGAAAGAAAGTGGTGCGATACAGCAGAGCAGGGCTGAGAATGCAGAGTTAAGAAGAGGAGTCGACCGCATGGAGGCAGGGGAGTAGAAGAGAAGGAAAGAGGGGTCATAACATGCAAAAATGCACAGGCCAGAAATGGAAATGTGGGGAAAAAGTGAACTGAATGTCACGAGCGCTTTGTCATGTATATTCAGTAAACACTGGACATGACAGAAACTACGAGTAAACAATCAACCAGTTTCAGTTTGCAATATGTGCAACTATCCATCCATCCATCATCTCTACACCTTAATCCTCAC